GGAAAAATGGAGTAATAAAAGAAAAGGAGAAAGAGAGGGTAAACTCGAAGTCATGTGGCTATACACTCCTGGTATACTATTAATATATTAGAATACAGTCCCGTGGATGCTCTCTGTGTGATTCTGGAGATGCTGCTTGTGATGCAGTCCCATTCGACAGACCTTGTACTTGAGCTGATCTCCTTCTTTAATGTGGGCCAGATGCTTCCGCTTAAAGTGCTTTGTCAAGTCTCCCGACTAGCAAACTTGTAAGTACGCTTTTCAAATGGCAGGCTCTGCTCCCCTAAGCAGAGGAAGCAGGTAGTGGTCCTCTTCTCGGTAAATACTAATAATATAGCATCACTTAACGCTTGCTTCTCGGCCTGGGCGGCTGCCATCTAAGGGCTGATCTTCGACAGCATTGGACTATTCTATCGCGCAGACGACCTTTTGTGTGATAGTACAGCAGCCCCCCTCTCCTGAAAGTAGCAGTAGGCAGCGACGGCATCAATAGCCGCATTGCGGCAGCGGAACTCTTCTTCAATAGTTGTGCCCAGGAGCGTTATTATCGTATAGTCATTATAGTACTCAAGTTCTTTGGAAAAGCAAAGTATAGACCACGCAAAAAGCCATTTTTAACTCCTTTATATCGAAAGAAGCGTCGGCTATATTATCTAGCTAAGCGAGTAATGAAAAGAGATAATAGGAAGATATATTGGAGTAATAAGGTGACATTCGAAGTAGGAGAGGATTTACAGACTTTTTGGGTTACTCGTGACCCTGGCATGAAAGTAGAATATATAGAAAAGAATTTATGACTAACTTTAAAAGTAGAAGGACTTCTATAGATGTCTGGAGTTGTTTTTGTAAAGATGAGATAAGACCTCTATATATACTTTTAGTAGGGGAGAATATGACCTCGAAGTGTTATAAGTGAGTTCTTCAAAAGTTATTTATTCTATTTTATAATAGAATAAGGAAATACAGGGATAGGGTAGTAATACAAGAGGATAATACTCTCTGGTATATAGCGAAGATTATTACAAGATATTTAGATAATAAGAAGATAATCTAGATACAGTAGCCGCTATAGTCCTCTGATCTAAACTCTATAGAGAATCTATAGAAGTATATAAAGGATATAATCTCTAAGAGGAGGCATAGAGTCAAGAGTACGTCTGAAATGAGAGATATACTACGACAAACCTGGCCATAAATCGAGGAAGCTTTCCTTCTAAAATTATATGATTCAGTGCCTCGCAGGTAGAAATTATATCTAAAGAACAAGGGAGGGGCAACTAAATACTAAATAGCTATAAAATACACTTGTTTTTATAGTAATAGAGTAAAATTTGAGAAAGTCGTGTTTATTTAATATATATATATTATATAAGCTCGTGACGAAGACTTAAATGACTAGGTTGTACTCGACATGATGGAAGAAATTTGGACGAACAGAGTCAGACAGAGGAAAGAGCGGTATATCCCAGAGGCGCGCCTTTTCGCATCTATCGTTTATCATACAGTTGTAGCCGAAAACTGGGAGCTGCAGAGGATAATCTTTTGTCTCGCATTCGACGAAAAGGCGTTAATTAAAGTTAAGAACTATACTCCACAAAAATCACCCCCTTATGCTCTCAAAAATGCAAAGAGATTTGGGAAGAGCAATACAGAAGCCTTGATAAGTGCCTTGAAAAATCAGTCTATTCAACAAAATCTTGCATCAGCTTTGGCCTCAACAAGACAGGAATTATATAAAAGTGCTGGTGCTTCAGACTCCAATCCCTGCCCTTCTTTCGAGTTTGTCGATGCAACCTATATTCCGAATAGGTGGAGCGAAAAGAAGACTTATGAGTTAATAGATAGGATATATCGTTGGTGTGGGAAAAATTCTGAGGAGCCAAAGGAGCCATTTCTTCGAGTCTCTCACCAATGGAATTCGCTGACAAGTGGCTCCACTGGTTCGACTGTAGCATCATACTTCCCAGACTGTGTGCACACAACTGATGAGCAGTATGTTCTAGTAGCACAGAGTAGGTCCTACTCGAGGAGGCAGCTTCGTATATATGTCATTCCAGGTCTCACTGATGCGACTGAACGACTGCAAACGACATTGCGGGATGCAGCTGGAATCGATGTACTATACAAGTACTCGTTGAGTAGCGATATCTCAAATAACTGGAAGGACGTGTACAAGAAGTGGCGGACAACAGATTCTGAAAACTGCAAAGAATTTATCAAGGAATTCCAGCAATGGAAAGACGCGATGCAAGATAGGGCCCCACCAAGTCTTCCCGTGGCATTGCCAGCAATTGAGAAAACTGAACCACAGCATGTGGAACGCCCGCCTCTTCCACCACAAGCTTGGACATCATATCCACCTTCGAGTGTGTCTATTACTGAAGCCAAAATTAATCTCAAGCGCCCCCGCGAAGACGCAGACGAGAATGATATTTTGACAATCCAAAAGAAAGCTAAAAATCAAATCATAATCATTGATGGTTAGAATTAGAGGGTATGGGTATACGGAAGCAGTTTTTTGTTCCCAGTGATGCCTTGGATTGACAAGGTTAGGATGCAGTCGTATCTCAAGTCTTACCTAACAAGAGAATTACTAAAAAGATACTGAATCAAGCTATTAAGAAGTGACTCCGAAGTTCAGCTACTCGGGGCATTTGGAGACTCAAATGAATCCAGTTAGTCAGAGAATATAGGTCAGCTACTGACGTGCGGTTCAAGAGGCTTGAGCCTAACGACATGTAAACATAGCACACTTCTCGCTTTAGATAGAATGGAACATCATCTCTGAAAATCTCCAACAATTATCATGCGAGATAGGAAGACCTATGGTGAAACGAAACATTTCAGGCCAGTTTTTGTACTTATATGAATGGGTTTGTCAGTAATTGTTTGTACATTTGAGTGGTTAAAACTGACCTACACCAACAGCATAGTGGTGATCACGCCTTGTACGTGTAGTCTATTAGGTGTTGAAGTGAGGCTTGGAGGCCTCAGGCAAGTGCTGGCACCAGCACTTGTGTTTCAGGCACGTCTCACTAATTGCCCTCTATATGTGGCCTGAAGACTTTCGTAGTTTATTCTTGATAGCAGAAGATAGTAACGGACACTACGTAGTTGACAATATACTTGGTTTACCCTGCTTCAGGCCCTCAAGACCTCGTTGTGTTGATGATATAGTCATCCGCTTAGCCTATTATGGCCAGTGTGGAACACATCCTAAGAGGACTATATCCAACAACACTATTCATTAGAATATTAGTGAGTGATTCAGATTATTCCAATATGTCATATTCGATAAATTGCTTGAATAGACTTAGTAGCACTGTCCAGAATCCCCTAATCACTCAGCTCCCAAGATTTCTCACTAGACGCTTATAAAAATAGATTTACGTTATTCCGCAAGCCATTGTTCATAACAATTGGTTATATAAGCTTTATTAAAGACAATAGTTTGCTGCTTTGTTTCATAAATATCGCTTTTCACTGACATCCACTACTTAAATAAATCATTTTAAATTTTATTATTAAACCTGTGAGATATTTTTGGCACTGTTATAGAGTAATATAGGTGAGCATGTCGTTTGACCCTCACTACGATGTTGAGTCAATATAATGTACCTAAAAATCGAGAAATCCCATGCCTTTAGGTCACTTGGAGAACATCGCTTATATCTCATGCTAAGAGGCGACACGTATTTGTAATTTGACTTGGACGTATATAACTGCAAATTAGGCTCCCGTTTGAGACCATTTAATACTCGCGCAAGCATAAAACCGCCAGACCAGACCAACGGCGTCATGGCTGTTACAACTGCTGAAGTTGGTTGCAGGTCATAGCTAACAAACCGGCTAACCTATTTTTCACCCTTTCATTCTCCCCAGATGGAAGCTAAAAACCGTGTAGAATCATCCTTGATAAATAAAGGATTTTTATTCTCTGGGTAGGACAACTTGTCTCTTCCAATCAATCCCAACTTCAATGGTGGACTACGAAAGGTGCGACACAAATGTACCAGTGATCACTAAGACAAGTCCATACTTTAAATTCCTGAGAGCTCGAACCCAGCTGTCCCACTAGTGTTAGAAGCGAGATCAATAATGGTGAGGTTGAACCATGGTTTGTGACTTCATGCTGGTGGGGCCGATATGGGAACTTTTGCAACCTTTACAACTATCATATTAATGGATATTGCTATATGCCTCCTGCAAGAATGAATCAAATGTCCAAAACGTTCGAAACTCCAATTCCCTTACTGGATGGAAGGAAAGGTATCGGAAATATAACTATACAATCAATAGGAATTTCCTGGAAAATCGATATATATGATTGATAGAAAGAGGCTTCATAGCATACATAACTTCAATTTTGACTACTATGACATAAATCAAACACGCTATGCTCTAACTTTAGTGTTCTTGGACAAGGGTATTTTCACTCTGGATGGTGCTCCGTGGAAGTACTGGAGTACTTTATTGGGACCAACTTTTACGAAAGATAATATGGTAAATATTACATTATTCAAAGGTTATAGAAATTCCTCACAATTTTGCTTACTGATATATTGTCTATCTTGCTGGAGGAGATTAAAGTGGCATTACAATCAACCATACAGTTTTCCATCTTGCTGCCATCCTGAGAAATGGAAGAAGGTTCATGACGAAGTCGTAAGTGCGTGTGATGAAATCCTCACTTTGAAGTGGTGGACCAGAAGGCAGATCATTGTGAATAATCGGAACGAGATCAAATTTGGTTTAAAGGAGTGTGACGGTTGCTAATATTCATTTCAAAGGAAGAAAGGAGTAAAACATTGAAATATACTCGTAACCTGTATATCAGTGTCTTATAGCTAAATAAGCCTTTGTTGTTGAAGCCAAAAAACCTACCATAGTCAGAAAATTGTGGGGTGGCGGGGTAGCGGTGGAACTTCGGATATAAGCTGGATTTATTTTTGATTAATATAATGCTAAATAAGAACGTGTTAGTCAAAAAACTAGTACATTCCGCGCTGGTGTACCGGTAACATTTCCGCCTCTCAGCATCAAAAGATGGAAGTGCGCGGGAGCACGGGGTTCGACTCCCCGGCGCGGAATTCTTTTGACTCTCATGTAGAAGAGTGACTTTTTGTTGCAACGGTTGAATCTAGCCATGCCTGAAATCATATTTTTTAATTCTATATTTTCTTATTTTACAATGCTTGTCCCATATATATTATGCTACACAACGCTAGCCAGGTATGCGTCTTGTGACACAATGGAAATGTTAGATTTCATTTAATTGGGAGATTATCAAAATCGAAATAGTGAGATAGGATACTGGGCTTTTATTTGCACATGGACATGAAGTGGTGGTTGTCAATTACGAGGTTCACGTGACAATTCTTATCACTTATCATAAGCGAAAGGGTGTTCGCGACTTCTTGATCGACAACGTTCCAACACCAACGCCAGAACGATTGAGTAGCTTCACCAAGCTTGGATTTTGCTTTGCAGAAATTCCCAGCTTTAGATGCTTCGTGAAAATGCTCTCTCGGCTGCCTAAGGTGTGAAAAGACCCAAGTGTCCCGATTCTCCCACCTCTTTCCAAAATGGCCTCCCTTTGGACTCCCCAAGCTCCTGCAGAACCTCCTATTCCCGCAGCAGATGTCGCAGATACTGGAATAGCAGATGTTGGAATTTCTGCTCCTCAACTGCCGCAGAGCATACCTATGGGACGACCGCAGCTCCAGCGGAATCAATCTCAACCACCTCCACCACACCAACCTCCTCCCCCTCCTGCCCCGCAACAAGTTGGCAATCCGAATGATTCCCTCTCGTTGATGCAACTGAGGCGCATTGTCACTGAATTCCCCAAGTCTGATCCTGTTGCGTACGCGTTCACATACGCAGATACGGCGTCCTTTGAGGAAGAGGTGGATGAATGGTTTTCATACAATGAGGCGGAATACAAGAGACTGCATAGAGCAAAAGAGACATTTGGAAGAAGGTGGAAGAAATTTGCTGGGGAGCCATGGTTGGATGTGGAACACGTCGAAAGAGAGAAGTTCGTGGAACGAGAGATTAATGGTCTACTAGCTACAGACTTGCGGAGGAGGTGCAAGAGCTTACAGACGATTCTTCACGTTGTGCTAGGTGTTTGGGATGAAACAGCTGGAATGGAAGCCACAGGAAAGGATACAGACAAACCAAAGAACCAGACGAAGGCTACAAAGCTACAACTTGAGCATATGAAATCGGGGATTCTGCTGGTCGCAAGGGCTGGCGGAATTCCCCTACTTTACGATGTTATGCAAAATGCGTTCAAGCGTCTTTGGTAGGTAATGCAAGTCAATCTCAGACTTCATTCACTAATACACTCAGGGATGATGATTTCCGGGAAACTAAATTGGTGGAAGATGATATACCCTTTATTCAAGATGAATTGGATAATGTGACAACAATTACATATCTAATGCTTGAGGGCGTGCGGAGCGATCCTAGCGCCCTTGAATCCCCTCGAATGAAACTCCGTATGCAAACCGTCGCCCGCTCTACCTACGGTGCTAATTTTTTTAGTTGAACTGAATCCGAGCCTTGTCGATTATTTAGTAACTATTACGGCCAGATTACGCTGGGACGAAGCAAATGAATTACCGCAAACTAGGGTTAGTATTTTACTTTAGTATTTTACACGGAGCTAACATTCTTAGATATTCCTTCTTTTCTGGAAAGCCATCCTCCTTGTTTTTGGGGGAACAAATGAAGTGAACGAGATAAAGGATGCAACGTGCGAATTGCAAAAACGAAATGGGAACGGGAAGACTGCTGGTCCCCTCATTACAGCTTCACCTTTAGACTATCATATATTCCGCCAGGAGATAACTTCTAAATACCCCGCATATACCCCTCCACAACCACTACTTCCTCTCGAACCCGATAACAATTCAATACTTCCTCCTTTGCCGAATCGACCGAGCAGAGCGAATGGCGCAAATGGTATAATACCTCCGCCAATGAATGTGAACAGTAGCGGCGCATCCATTCTACACCAACCTGTGCATATTGCTACACCAGCACCGTCACCACCTCCTTCACCCCCTGTAGGTGGGAAAGCCGGCAAAAAGCAGAATTATCAAACAAATCAAAACTTTCCCTTTATGTACCCGCCATTAGATAGTACAAGTAATAGCGCCGGAGGAAAGGGTATGGCCGGCCTCCAAGGCCTGCTAGTTGGGCGAAAATGGGAAGGGAGTGACATTCCCAAGTCGATTTTGGAAGCCGGCGAATTATTTGCTGGGCGCATGCGGATGACGAGAGCCATGCGCCAATTATGGGATGAAAGGGAACGTTTCCTCAAGTTCGAACGAGGCTGGGATGGTCAAAATGACGATGTTGAAGAACTTGACTTGGAGATGATGCTCGCGCATAAGTTGTCGCTTGATGATTCCAAGTTACCCAAACCAGAAGTCGACTATGGCCCAAACCTAGAGATCAGCACCAAGGCGAAACAAAAACTTGACCTTATTGAACAATTCTATGTAAGTATTGATCAAACATTGCGATGAGAGTGAGGCTAACAATTCACCAGCAAAGCTCAATACCACATTTACAATCACTTGTGATTGTCTTGCTCAAGGCAATTCTTGCCAATGTTACAGCACTTATCACACAGCCGATAGGAGGGCAAGGTGGGGGGCTTGCTCCTGCCTTCAGATCAGAAGCAAACCTACGTTCAAACGGAGTACAGTCTGCTACAAGAATTCAAGATCCGGCCAACATACCTCTTCCAAGTGCCGTTGAGCCATCAGATTTGCCAATCGACGATATTGAGGCTTTAAGGTCACGTGAGATTACAGCCAAAGCTGTGTCTGGCATACTCCTGATACTGCTGAAATGGTTCAAAATTTCACGTGAGAGCTGCGATTACATATTGTTGATCTTTGCTAACGATCGTAGATATATTGAAGTTCGAATATTTTACGCAGCTCATGCTAGATTCAAACTATTTGCCACTTGTTTTGAAGCTCTTTGCACACCAAGAAATTGACAAGGTGGTTGATAGCAAAACAGACCGTGATGACATGAGGTAAGAATCTTCTCAAGGCTGAAGCAACTTTTAACATCGACCAGTTTCTTCTCATTCTGCAATTTAAATAGCAAGAATAACTCAACCAAGCTGGAGCTCCAACCAGAGGAGGAGAGTGAAGACGATGCGGCACCGCCTCCAATTAAGACACGACGAGAGCTTCCAATCGCTGAGTCGGGTGATAATCTCCCTGCTCTCGCGTTCCAGGATGGACAAACTGGAGGACGGCGTGAAATACCCGAAGTAGATGAGCTAGGATATCCAACAACAGATCCGCCAGCCGAACCTATTACCGAATTCTCCTGGCGAAACTTCTTCTCATCGATAAATTTTCTCCGAGTAATGCAGAAGATCTGCAAAAACAAAGCCCACCGAAACTTACTTCTCGTTCAGTACAAATCATCAAATATCCTCAAAAAGTCGCTTAAGATACCTCAACCAGAACTGCGACTCTATACTCTTAAATTATTTAAGAATCAAGTTCCATATTGTGGTCGAAAATGGCGACAAGGAAATATGCGTGTTATCACGGCCGTATACCTCCACTGCAGGCCGGAGCTACGGGACGATTGGCTGGCAGGAAGTGACGTAGATGCAGAAGTAGAAGAGGCTTTACCACTTGAACAAGCACTGCGAGCATTGACACATTGGCATAATATTAAAAGATACCCGGATCAAATGGGAGCCGACACAAAGCTCCTGGAGGAAGAACACGATTTTTTCGTGAGGGAATTGGAAAAGATGGCTTGGATTGATGAGGGATTGATGGACGGGGAGAGTGTGGCTGATAGCGGGTGGGATGGAATGGGAAATGGGGGATGGTAAGGGGGCCATGAATATATACCATTTCAAAAATTCTAGTCAATCCCCACTGTGATGTTGCTTTGGCTTTCAACTCGTCAAAATTCGGATAAAGGCCCAGTAACTCGTGATTTTATATGGTACAAGGGTTTGGTACATTTGAAACCTTGGCAATTCCAAAATTTCCCCGCAAAAGCTTAAACCGCCCAACCCTCAATGTCAGCCTCGCTCTTCTCCATGTTCTATGATGTGGTTGATATCATCCACAATACATAGAAACCAATTATTCAGTGCTATGCTTATCAACCTATCAATTCTTCTCTCCGTAAATCCTTTCTGTAGTAGGCGTCATGAGGCCCTATTCCATGATCCCACCTCTCGGGTTGGGATTGAAAATATGGCAATATGCAATGCCACCACCACCTACTCCTACACGCCTCGATCGACCACTGGTAAACACCTTCACGGCATTGCAGTGGCAACTCATTTTATGGGTATTTATTTGTAACGACATCCGGCGACGCAAAGGGCTGCTCAGTATGCTCTGTGTCAGTAGAGGAAGTCCTGCGGAGATGCTGAGTTTTCATCATATTGTTGTCAACTATATGAAGATTCGCAGTACAACATTAATATTGAGAAAAAATCTATACGTCAGTCCTGAAGAAGACACCTTCTATGTCTTGCATGAACAATACATGTTTGTATTCATGACCACAGGTCTAAATCGATATTACAACATGAACATAAACTGCGATACCTTTGAATATTGTCCGCACTGTTGGAATTAACGACTCCAGCCAATCGGATGACTAAGGGTCATCAACGCAACGCGATTTAGGAGGGCCTGAATCAGGGTAAATCAAGTATATTAGCAACAGCGTCCAGTATCCTGCTGTCTTCTCTTGTCTTGTTATTGTACAGAATCAAACTACGGAAAGTCTTCAGGCCACATATAAATGACAACTAGTGAGACGTGCCTGAAACGCACGTGCTGAAGCAAGCACTTGCCTGAGGCCTCCAGGCCTCACATCAACACGCACGACTATGCTGACCTTTATGGCCAGAAATCAACTATACTGTAGTATACAGGTTATCTATCTTTCTGTCTTCCGGGGGTAGGGGCCTAGAGATCCGAGATGTAGTTCGACCAAGCAACTTGGAGGCGCTCCGGGATACCACCATAGGCCAGGCATCAGACAAGCAATCGCCAACACCCCAAGAATTTAG